TGCTGCGGCTGTCCCTGCTGCTGTTGCGGTCCCTGCTGAGGCTGCTGCTGCTGGGGCCGCCTCTGGTGCTGCGTTGCTGCCGCGTCATACCAACGAGCTATGCCAGTGCTCCCTCACGTCGGGCTTGCAGGCCCACAGTCACCTCCAGGGAAACCTCCACTAGACTGGGACGGACCAAGACCGTCCCCACCTCCGCCACTCACTGCGTCACCCCCGTCGCCACCACCGGCACCACCACCCTTCCCTCCTTTCTTACCTCTTTTGCCCCTGGACCGCCCACCCACAGTGGATACTGCTGCAGTCTCACCAGTAGCAAGAGACGCAGTGGAGGCAAGAGAAGCAATGAAAGTGGGGAGCTGTGGAATAGTACACCCCTGAAAGAGCGAGGGAACCACAGCGCCAGAAGCTTATGAAATGGAGCGGATGTTGCTCTCGATGTCCTTGAGTGCTGACTCAAGGACCTCGATAGTGAGCTCATTAGGGTGCTTTGGAAGAAGCGCGTCGCGGACAGGTGCAAGACAGTCAAGGAAGGAAGTGGCTATGAAGTGAATGGTGATGGGCATGGGAGGGGGATGATCGCCAGCTGGGCCTCGCTATTCGCAGCACGGTAGCCAGCTGGGCATTGATTGCCGCAAAACAGGCCTGGGCAGATCGAACCTGGGTGAAGTGGGTCTCCTCAAACTCAGGGCGAAGGCTGGTGAGGGCGATACGAGCTGTGGCATCACGAGACTGCCACACCGACAGGGCTGTACGGCCCTTATCAAAGAGCGCCTGCTCGTCGTCGGTAGGCTCCGCAGGCAGGTCACGGGGGCGAGGACGCGCGGGCAAGTCCATAGCTTGTCGCCGTCCCAGTGCTCGCTCTACAGGTGCAGCTCGACGCGAAGGAGTCAGGCGGGGAAATCAAGTGCCCTACCCCCCTGCATCAAAACGTAGAGGTCGGGGGGCGGCCATGTCTAGTGCTCGACTGGACTAGGGGCGAAATAGGACGGACGAACGAAGCCGGAAGGGCGACTCTAGGAATTGTCGAATCGAGTGGTGGGTAGAGCTAGAAAGGACAAGCCTAGGGACACTAGACATTAATCATAATTACCCTAGGAAGTGTACTGTGGCCGCCAGCCGCTGCGGATGGAACGCCAGTGACAGTAAGTGTTGGAAGGTACAGCACGGGTGGTTAGGTGCGGTAGGAAGTCGCTTAGCGCGGTGGGGAGCGGTTGGTTACGTTATAGTGCGGTCAAGGAGGGGCCTTAGAGTAGATCAGGCCCCACGATATCAGGGTAAAACATCCTGATTACCCTGATTTCATGATAGTGTCAGGTGTTTTCCCTGCAATTTCAGGAAGATAGAGGCCCCACTATATTTTACCCTGTCACTTCAGGAAAAAAAAATTGTTGGGCCCTGAAATTTCAGGAAGGCCGTGAGATTTTGCCCTGCAGCATCAGGACGAAGGTAGAGGACTGCCCTGATGCGCACGCAGAAGGGGAAGGGGTGTGGGGGTGGGGGGGGATGGGGGAGAGGGGGGAAGGGGCGGGGGTGTGTGTGAACTGGTTTTGTCTCCCCCCGAGGATTTCGCCACTGCCTCGTCGTACCATACCATGCATGCACCAGGCTTCCCAGTCATATCGTGCCTTCCCCTCCACCTCTCTCATGTCTTGTGATTTTGTTGCACCGAGAAATCAGGATGAACTCATGTTGGTGTCCTGAAAGTTCATGATGGCCAGAAAAAGATTGCCCTGAAAAATCAGGGCATTCTTGAGAATTTTTAAAAGTTGCCCTGAGGGCTTAGGATGCCCGAAATCCAAGCACAGGCCCTGGAGTAGAGGGCCGAGGGGCCATAGCATTGAGGGCCGCGGGACTTCAGAACGAGGGGCCTCGGGGCCTTAGAACGAGGGGTCGCAGGGCCTTAGAACGACGGGCCGCAGGGCCTTAGAACGAGGGGCTCCAGGGCCTTAGAACGAGGGGCTGCAGGGCCTTAGAACGAGGGGTCACTGTGCCTAGGAACGAGGGGCCTTGGGGCCTAAGAACCAGGGGCCGCTGGGCCTTTGTGCTATGCGGTGGGCTGCTGAGCAGGGCGTGGGCGGCAGGGCAGGGCGCCACGACAGAGTGTGGGCTGTGCGTGCGTGCGCTATAGTGCGTCCGCGTGGGCTGCGGCGGTGCGTGCGCGAGCTGCAGAACGTGCGCGGAGGCTGCTGCTAAGCATGCACGCGCTGCAGTGTGTCTGCGCGAGCTGCACATGTTCGTGCATGCGCAGAGTCGAGCTGGCTGCTGCGCGAGTGCGGTGGCGTGCGTGCGCAAGCACGCGCGCGGCTGCTAGCTACGAGCGGGGTAGCGTGGGTGGGCCGGACAGGATAGGACGGGACGGGACGATTCGCAGAGCGCTACGGGACGCGAGGGCTTGCGGGGCGTTACGTGTAAGAATCTAGAACGAGAAATGATGGTATTGAACGGAAAGTTGGGTACAAGTACTAACCCTAATTGGGCTGTACCCCTTATGGGCTACCCCACTACAGCCTACATAATGTAAGCACTATAACATTCTGACACACCCCCATAAGCAAAGTGGGGGAGAACACGTGGTCACAAGACCAGTCAAGAAAAGCAAAGCAAGCTCAGGGTGGATCACGAAGGCACCACACATTCTGAGCACAAGCAAATGGCCACAAGGCCAGTTCACATGCAGAGTTATATAAAAGAGAACAAACAATACAGTGATCATACCCTAACAAGTGTAAGCATGCAAGTATATATATAGATCACAGTACAAGCAAAGTCACGCAGTGAACAAGTGAGGCCAAGTAAGCACAAGGCCTAAAACAGTACAGAAACGCTGATGGTCACCAGACTGAAGTGCCTTGGTGAATATATCAGCAGTGTTGGCCCTAGTGGCCACGTACGCAAGACGAAGCTGACCACACTGCTGCAACTCTCGAGCAAGGAAGTAACGCAGAGCGATGTGCTTCGTTCTGTGCTCTAGTCTGTGTACCTGACACAAGGCAATCATGGCCTTGTTGTCTATGTACAGAACTGGAGAAGAACGAGGCCGCTCCCCCAAGTCGGTCAGTAGGTAGGTGAGCTAGCGTAACTCCTGTGCAGCCATGGCCCCAGCGTAGATCTCAGCCTCAAAACTGGAACTGAGAACAGAAGACGAGCGGGTAGACCGCCAAGAAATAGAGCCGGAGCCAAGGCTGAAGGTGTAACCCTGTGATGACCGCTGCATAGCCAAGTCGTCAACCCAAGAAGCGTCTGCGTGTCCAGTGAGGACAACTGGACCCCGTCCTCCAAGCACGAGCCCCATGCCCGAAGTAATGCACAAGTAGCGCAACACCCTCTTAGCGGCCTCCCAGTGCTCTGGTCGGTGTCTCCCAAGCGCAACGTAGCGTGCCAGGATGCTAAGAGGGTAAGCAAGGTCAGGTCGAGTGCAAGTCATCAGGTAGATGAGGCAGCCCACAAGCTCTGGATACAACCCACTCTGCTCTACGGACTCATCCGAAGGTGGAGCTGAGAGCGAGTGACCGGTAGGCAGAGGAGTGGACTGTGGCGAGGAGTACCGGAAGCCGAAGCGCTGAAGGACCTGGTGCACCATGTGTGACTGAGTCAGGGTGATGGTGCGCTGTGCTCTGTCCAGGGTGATCTGCAAGCCAAGATAGCTGCGTAGCTCACCCAGGTCAATGCAGGTGTGTCTCTTCTTCAGCTCCGACTTCACAAGGGTCAGTGCGTCAATGTCAGCAGTGGCAAAGACCAAGTCGTCGACGTACACGAGGACGTAGAGCGGCGTCAGCGAAGTGTCGGTGCGTAGAAACCGCGATGGGTCAGCAGTCGAAGGAGCAAACCCAAGAGCCGCAAGCGTCGTCCTCCGTGTGTTGTGCTACTCGCGAGGCGCCTGACGGAGACCATAGACTGGCCGCCTGAGGCTCCACTGGGTACCTGCAGGAAACGACCCAGTGAAGCCAGGTGGACAGTGCACCCAGATCTCCTCGTGCAGGCTGCTTTGCAAGAAAGCTGTGCTGAAGTCAAGAGAGTGCAGCTCGTAGTCACCCTGAGCTGCGACGTGCAGCAACACCCGAAGAGTGGTCATCTTTGGGGTAGGGGAGAAGTTATGGAAGAAGTCAACTCCCTGTCGCTGACTGAAGCATCGTGCAACGTAACGAGCCTTGAAGACAGGCGGAGAACCCGGCAGCCGCTTCACCCTGAAAATCCACATGCCATCGACTATGTTTGCCCCAGAAGGGGGAACTGTGTCGACATAGGTGTCTGTGGACTTCCAGGATGCCATCTCTACGTCCATGGCTATCTGCCACTGAGAGGAGTAGGGACCCGTAATCGCCTCTGCGTAAGAGCGCGGGGTCGGGATGTCTGGTGCATCCGGGTCTCCCTTAGGTGCAAGCAGCATGGCTACGAGATGAGGTACAGCAGCTGCAAGACACTCAAAGTCCTCCTGCCTGTCCTCAAGGACGTCCGTGCTAAGAGCACACTCACCTCCGACGGACGGAAGACAGTCAGACTCAGACTCAGCAACAAGACTAGTGGCGTAGTCGAGACGACAGGCGGCAGCAATGTCAACAAGCTCAGCAACTAGGGCAGACGCAGCACGGCGGCCTGCCCCCTCTCCCCCACCCCCCATCCCCGCCACCTCCCCCCCACAGCAGCAGCCGCGGGAGAGGAGAGGCAGGGCAGAGGGTGGGGCTGTAGTGATTCACAGCGGCCACCCCTTCCACGCCACCTCCCCCCCCAAGGATGGAGGAGAAAAAGGGGGGGGGGGGGGGGGGGGGGGGCTGGTGCTGCATATCCCCTCCCCCCCCACTGCTGCACTCGCAGCAGGGGGGAGGTAGGAGAAGGGGCGGTGCAGGAGCCGCTCGGGCGACAGCAGGTTGGCCACACCCGCCACCCCCATACCCTCCCCCCCACTGCTGCACCCGCAGCAGAGAGATGGAGGAGAAGGGGGGGGCGGGGGGGGGCTGGTGCTACAGGTCCCCTCCCCCCACTGCCGCATCCGCAGCAGGGGGATGGCAGATCGCTTCCCCCCCACTGCTGCACCCGTAGCAGGGGGAGGTAGGAGAAGGATGAGGGGGGGGGGGGGGGGGGTCGGTGCTGCAGATCCCCTCCCCCCTTCTGCTGCACCCGCAGCAGGGGGAGGTAGGAGAAGGGTGGGGGGGCCTGGTGCTGCAGATCCCCTCCTGCCTCCCCCTGAACCTCCAAGCTCCCGCCCCTCTCCCAACACAAGGTGCGGCAGGGAGAGAGAGAGGAGGAGGCGTGGCGGCAGCTGCTGCTGCTGAGGCACATCCGCCACCCCCTCACACCCTCTCCCCGCCATCCCCATGGAGGGGGGGGAGGGGGGAGAGGGGGGCGGGGGCGGAGCTGCACGTGCGACTGTAGGGCACGCGGGCAGGAGGAACCCCCTCTTGCCACCCCCTCACCCACCATGTTGCAACAGGGCACCGGGGCCGCGGTTAGGGGCGGCAGGTCGCGAGGGGCCATGGCTAGGGGCGACGGGGCCATGGCTAGGGACGGGGCCGGGCGCTGGCAGGTACAGGGCCGGGCGCTGGGCAGGTACGGGGCCGGGCGCTGGGCAGGTTCGGAGCCGGGCGCTGGGCAGGTACGGGAACGAGCGCTGGGCAGGTACGGGGCCGGGCGCTGGGCAGGTTCGGGGCCGGGCGCTGGGCAGGTACGGGGCCGGGCGCTGGGCAGGTACGGGACCGGGCGCTGGGCAGGTATGGGGCCGGGCGCTGGGCAGGTATGGGGCCGGGCGCTGGCAGGTACAGGGCCGGGCGCTGGGCAGGTACGGGGCCGGGCGCTGGGCAGGTTCGGAGCCGGGCGCTGGGCAGGTACGGGGCCGGGCGCTGGGCAGGTACGGGACCGGGCGCTGGGCAGGTTCGGGGCCGGGCGCTGGGCAGGTACGGGGCCGGGCGCTGGGCAGGTACGGGACCGGGCGCTGGGCAGGTACGGGGCCGGGCGCTGGGCAGGTACGGGACCGGGCGCTGGGCAGGTATGGGGCCGGGCGCTGGGCAGGTACGGGGCCGGGCGCTGGGCAGGTATGGGGCCGGGCGCTGGCAGGTACAGGGCCGGGCGCTGGGCAGGTACGGGGCCGGGCGCTGGGCAGGTTCGGAGCCGGGCGCTGGGCAGGTACGGGGCCGGGCGCTGGGCAGGTACGGGACCGGGCGCTGGGCAGGTTCGGGGCCGGGCGCTGGGCAGGTACGGGGCCGGGCGCTGGGCAGGTACGGGACCGGGCGCTGGGCAGGTACGGGGCCGGGCGCTGGGCAGGTACGGGGCCGGGCGCTGGGCAGGTACGGGGCCGGGCGCTGGGCAGGTACGGGGCCGGGCGCTGGGCAGGGACGGGGCCGGGCGCTGGGCAGGTACAGGGCCGGGCGCTGGGCAGGTACGGGGCCGGGCACTGGGCAGGTACGGGGCCGGGCGCTGGGCAGGTACGGGGCCGGGCGCTGGGCAGGTACAGGGCCGGGCGCGAGGCTAGGTACGGGGCCGGGCGCTGGGCAAGGGACGGGGCCGGGCGACGGGCTAGGTACAGGCCGGTCGCGGGCTAAGTACGGGCCGGGCGCGGGCTAGGTACGGAGCCAGGCGCGTGCGAGGTACGAGCCGGGCGCAGGCTAGGTACGGGGCCGGGCGTTGGGCGCGGAACTGAGGCCGGGCGCGAGGCTAGGTACGGGCCGATCGCGGGCTAGGTACGGGGCCGGGCGCGGGCGAGGTACGGGCCGGGCACGGGGCTAGGAACGGGGCCGAGCGCGGGCTAGGTACGGGCCGATCGCTGGCTAAGAACGGGCCGGGCGTGGGGCGACGAAGTCGACGGGGCCAGCGGGGCCGAGGGGCACAGCTAGGGGCGACGCCAAGGGGCGACGGGCCGGGGCCTAGGCTAGAAGGGCATTAGGTGGTGGGCCCATTGATGTTAGGTCCTAGGAACGACCTACTCTGATAGCATGTTGAAATAGTAGCTAGACTTAGGAGCCATGGCTAGTGAGTGTCGAGAGAGTTGAGTGTCGAGAGAGAATGGAAAGGAGGAATGATGGGTTTCACTATAGCACACAAGGTACATATAGCAAAATGAACAAAGGTGCACCACCAAACAATAGGAGCTACACTACAGTAAATCCTACAGGCAGTTTTATAACAGAACATATAATTATATTTTCTGACAGTGGACTCAAAAGAAGGGTCAATGACAACAGTGGCTAGAAGACGAGGGACAGTAGGACTGGCAGCACAAGCTAGGTCAGATGCAGGGTCAGGAATGGCAGGAAGAGAGGACTCAGGAGGAGGCGGCAGGGGAACTCGCAATGGAACAGAGGAAGGACGAAGTGCCATAATGTGAGTGCCGGGGACAGGAGGAGGACGGGAACGAGGAACACGACGACCAGTGCGAACAGCGCGAACATGTGAGGCAGGGCGAGACTCAGGCTCACGACGCTCTGTAGAAGAGTCTGTCTGCTGAGCAGGCAGAGGGGAGTCTGGCTGTAACTGTGGCTGCGATTGGTGAGGCGGTGGACTCAGTAAGCTAGGAGGAAGGCCAGTAGAAGACGGGAGACTAAGAACCTGGCAAAGGACCGAGTCAGGTGGCGGAAGAGACGACGGTGGCAACGGAAGGAAGAACGGTCGCCGCTGCATAGTGCCTCCAGCACCAGTACCGCCAGACGCAGCACCCCCAGCGCCAATACCTCCAGCTCCAGGGTCTCCAGCTCCTTGCCTCCAGCTCCAGCGCCTCGAGCGCCAGTGCCTCCAGCTCCAGCGCCTCCTGCGCTAGGGTCTCCAGCTCCAGCTCCTCCAGCTCCAGCGCCTCCAACACCACAAGACCCGGCAGCTCCAGTATCTCTAGGACCAGCAGCTCCAACACCTCCGGTACCTCCAGCTCCAGCAGAAACTCCAGCACCTCCAAGACTAGTAGCTCCAGCACCTCCAGCTCCAGTGCCGCCAGTGGCAGAGCCTCTAGCTCCGGCAGCTCCACTCCTAAGGCGTGTGTGCTGAGCAAACCCCTCGCGCAGCTGCTGTGGGGAGAGAGGCTCCCGACGTGGAGACCGTCATGGCGAGGCACCCGCAATACCTCCAGCAGACGCAGTACCCCAAGGCTCAGCACCCCCAGACTCCGCACCCTCAGACTCAGCGCCCCAAGGCTCCGCACTCTCAAGCTCAGCAACCCCAGGCTCCGCACCCCAAAGCTCAGCACCTCCAGACTTGGCACCGTTAGACTCAGCACCCCCAGGCTCCACACCCGCAGACTCAGCACCCCCACGCTTCGCAGTCGCAGGCTCAGCACCCCCAGATGTAGCACCCCCAGACGCAGCACCCCCAGACGCAGCACCTCTAACAGCATCGGAGTCTACAGCGACCTCGACAGGTACAGTCCCGAGGACTGGGTCTACATGAGACACACCTGAGGGAACAGGACCCTGAGGGGGGAGGGGGTCTACCGGAGGGGGACCTGGAGCAAGGAAGAGCGGTGGGTGTGGGAGAGGGGCAGTGCGGTAGGGGAAGAGACGGTAAAAGGGAACCGACTAATCAAACGTTATGTCTTGAGAGGGGAGGACACGGCGCGAGGTGGGTGGTAAAATTGCCAGCCATGCGCGTCAGGGGGAAAGCCAAGGAAGACGCAGAGAACAACACGGGAGGAGAGCTTGTCCGTGGATGTATCGCGAACAAAGACACGAGAGCCCTAGACCCGGAACACTGACGCATCGCCAACCTTCCCCGTCCAACGCAGTGTAGGCGAGGTCTCCGGCAAGGAGACACGGGGCCAGAGGTTGACCTCATGCGCAGCTACCGGACCGCAAAAGGCCACAGAAAATGGGGAGCAGCCGCATGGATCATGGATCATGTGTGCAGGTACATGAGGCAGCCCACAAGCTCCGGATACGGGCCACTCGGCTCTACGGACTCGTCCGAAGGTGGAGCTGAGAGGGAGTGACCGGTAGGCAGAGGAGTGGACTGTGGCGAGGAGTACCGGAAGCCGAAGCGCTGAAGGATCTGGTGCACCATGTGTGACTGAGTCAGGGTGATGGTGTGCCGTGCTCTGTCCCGGGTGATTTGCAAGCCAAGATAGCTGCGCAGCTCACCAAGGTCAGTGCAGGTGTGTCTCTTCTGCAGCTCCGACTTTACAAGGGCTAGTGCCTCAGTGTCAGCAATCGTAAAGACCAAGTCATCGACGTAGACGAGGACGTAGAACGGCGGCAGCGAAGTGTCAGTGCGCAGAAACAGTGACGGGTCAGCAGTAGAAGGAGCAAACCCAAGAGGCGCAAGCGTCGTCCTCAGTGTATCGTGCCACTCAAGAGGCGCCTGGCAAGGCCCGTAGACTGCCCGGCGGAGGCTCCACTGGGTACCTGCAGGAAACGGCCTAGTGAAGCCATGTGGGCGGCACAACCAGATCTCCTCGTGTAGGCTGCCCTGCAAGAAAGTTGTACTAAAGTCAAGAGAGTGCAGCTCGTAGTCACGCTGAGAGGCGACGTGCAGCAACACCCAAAGATTAGTCATATCGGGGTAGGGGAGAAGTTCTAGAAGAAGTCAACTCCCTGTCGCTAACTGAAGCCTCGTGCAACGTAACGAGCCTTGAAGACAGGCGGAGAACCCGGCGGCCGCTTCACCCTGAAAATCCACATGCCATCAACTATGTTCGCCCCAGAAGGGGGAACTGCGTCAACATAGGTGCCTGTGGACTTCCAGGAAGCCATCTCTGCGTCCATGGCTATCTCCCACTGAGAGGAGTAGGGACCCGTAATCGCCTGTGCATAAGAGTGCGGGGTCGGGATGTCTGGTGCATCCGGGTCTCCCTTAGGTGCAAGCAGCATGGCCACGAGATGAGGTACAGCAGCTGCAAGACACTCAAAGTCCTCCTGCCTGTCCTCAAGGACGTCCGTGCCAAGAGCACACTCACCCCCGACGGACGGAGGAGAGTCAGACTCAGACTCAGCAACAAGACCAGTGGCGTAGTCAAGACGACAGGCGGCAGCAAAGTCAAGAAGCTCAGAAACTAGGGCAGACGCAGCAGTGGACTTAAAAGAAGGGTCAGTAACAATAGTGGCGAGAAGATGAGAGACAACAGGACTGGCAGCACGAACTAGGTCAGACTCAGGGTCAGGAACGACAGGAAGAGAGGACTCAGGAGGAGGCGGTAGAGGAACGCGCAGTGGAACAGAGGAAGGACAAAGTGCCATAACGTGAGTGTCGGGGACAGGAGGAGGACGCGGACGAGGAACCCGACGACCAGTGCGAACAGCGCGAACAGGCGAGGCAGGACGAGACGCAGGCTCACGACGCTCTATGAAAGATTCTGTCTGCTCAGCATAAGGAGAAGGAGCAGGCAGTGTGGAGTCTGGCTGTAACTATGGCTGGACTGCCAAGGTGGTGGACTCAGTAAGCTAGGAGGAAGGCCAGTAGAAGACGGTAGACTAAGAACCTAGGGAAGGACCGAGTGAGGTGGCGGCAGAGACGACGGTGGCGGCGGAACAAAAAACGGGCGCCGCTGCACAGTGCCTCCAGCACCAGTACCAGCAGACGCAGCACCCCCAGTGCCAGCACCTCCAGCTCCAGGGTCAACAGCTCTAGCGCCTCCAGCGCCAGGGTCTCCAGCTCTAGCTCCTCCAGCTCCAGCGCCACTAGCGCCAGGGTCTCCAGCTCCAGCTCCTCCAGCTCCACCAGCCCCGGCAGCTCTAGTATCCCTAGTACGAGCACCTCCAGGACCAGCAGCTCCAGCACCTCCAGGACCTCCAGCTCCATCATGAACTCCAGCACCTCCAAGACTAGTAGCTCCAGCACCTCAAGCTCCAGTGCCTCCATCGACAGAGTCTCCAGCTCAGGCAGCTGCACTCCGAAGGCGTGTGTGCCGAGCAAACCACTCGCGCAGCTGCTGCGCGGAGAGAGGCTCCGGCCGAGGAGACACTCGTAGCGAGGCACCCGCGGGACCTCCAGAAGAAACAGTACCCCTAGGCTCTGCACCCCCAGACTCTGCACCCTCAGACTCAGCACCCCCAGGCTCAGCACCCTCAGGCTCAGCACCCCCAGGTTCCGCACGCGCAGGCTCAGCACCCCCAGACGCAGCACCCCCAGACGCAACACCTCTAGCAGCACCTGAGGCTACATCGACCTCAACAGGCACAGTACCAGGGAGTGGGTCTACCTGAGACACACCTGAGGGAGCAGGACCCTGAGGGGGGAGGGGGTCTACCGGAGGGGGACCTGGAGAAAGGAAGAGCGGCGCGGGGGGGAGAGGGGCAGTGCGGAAGGGGAAGAGACGGTAAAAGGGAACCGACTCGTCAAACATGACGTCGTGAGAGGGGAGGACACGGCACGAGGTGGGGTGGTAATACTACCAGCCAGGTGCGTCAGGGGGAAAGCCAAGGAAGACGCAGGGAATAGCGCGGGCAGAGAGCTTGTCCGGGGACGTATCGCAAACAAAGGCACGAGAACCCTAGACCGGGAACACCGACGCATCGCCAACCTTCCCCGTCCAACGCAGTGTATCCAAGGTCTCCGGCAAGGAGACACGGGGCCAAAGGTTGAGCTGATGCGCAGTGTACCGGACCGCAAACGGCCACAGAAAATG